GTCTTCATGAATGACCATGTTGCTTGCTTTCCCACCATAGCTTTTCCTACACAATGAAGTGTTTCTACACGGAGTTTACAAAAGCCCAAGATACCCACAAGCCAAAAAAAAGTTTAAGAGCCTAATAAGAACAGTGGTCCAATCCAGAACCAAATAGAAGATTGAGAATAATATTTGTATGCTTTCATGTCATTTGTAGAGGTTTTTTAAGACAACAAAATGATGTTTAAATAGTTGTACTTTGTATACCCTGGAACTGGTTTTACTGAATGGGGTTAAAATGGATAACAGTCTCAAAATATCAGTGTTAACAGAGCAAATTAACTGGGGTGGCATACTGTAGTACAAACTGAATTCTTGTGATCCACTATAGTTAAGGACAAAAATGTCCTTGTTGACTAAATGGGTGACCATCCAATAATGAACACAGTGCCACTCAGAAAAATTTCTCCCCAGTACAGATTACTAAATAAGAAAACGGCAGAAACAAATAAAGGGAAGGAAAAGGGGGAATGAGAAAAGCCTGTGGTACAAGTATGATACAGTGACTGTTCAACACCACCTTACAAGCCAGTAACAGCAAGTCAGCACACAGGAGTGGCAAGGTCCAGAAGAATGGGCCACTGACTTTCTCATGGTTTTCTTTTTTTAATTTTCTCCAGAACAGCATGAGCATGATTGCAGTTTGTGTGTAACAGTGTAGTATTTACAGAAAAGGCTGAGTTTCATGATGGCAGAGATTACAAAGAGATTACAAATAAGGTTTACTAACTTGTTTTCCAGTGCTCCATGCTTCGATTTTTGCAGCTATTAAAAATGTTATAATTATCTTCTATGTATGACCAGCTACAATGCTAATGAAACTTGCACTTCCTGTAAGATAAGGAGCAGTGGTTTTGTGCTAATTGGCATTTAATTCCTCAAGTAATCCCAAAGACAATCCCAGAAATGTAACTCAAATCTGTGGTGTACACCAGTTCTGCTTGGCTTTTGTGAGTACTTTTATAATATGAACAGGGAAGGATAAGCATGAGGTACTGTAGAAAACCTTGAACTGTGCTAGCAAGGAATAAATTATGCAAATAATTACATGAAAGAATGTCACCAGTTCATTCTGTAGTCCTATGAGGATGGATTCCTCATGCTTAAGCTCAGGAATGAAAAACATCAGGTGTCATCTCTGTACTCTCTCATCTCTCTCTTTAGCCAATGAGGAGATAAGAACTCTAAGAAAATTAATTACACCCTTCTTACACACCTGCCTTATGTTGCATTAGCTCCTGTAGTAGTCACGCCACCTTTTGAGTTCCTGGAAGCCCAACTTTCCTGACCCAGGTGAGAGGGACCTGGCAGCCCCTGCACACTGAGCAGGGTAGCACAGTTTGGGCGAGTGCTGAGGGAAGGATAGGCAGTAACCAGAAGCCAGTGGAAAGATGCTACATGCAGCTAAAGATACATGACTAGCAAAAGAGTGAGATAGAGAGCAAGTATGACTTCTGCGGATTTATACCTACCTTAGCCTTTCCACAAAGCCACCTCCTCACCTCCCCATTTAAAGTGGTAAGGCCACTCTTTTCTGTAACCCTTGCCTACTTTATATGTTACCAAATTTCCAGGATTAAAATAGAATGGGAAAGATTTTTGCTTCAAAAACATACCCTTATTAATTAAAATTCAAGTGACAAAGGATCATACTCCTTCTGGAGAGGCTTGTCTCTCTCCCTTGAGTGCAGACTGAGCTATAATAAATAGCCCTATGTCTCAATTTTCATCAGGATGACAGACATGATGAAATTAGAGATGGTAAATCTTACTCTCAGTGGCCACCTCTCTCCTGTGCCCTGCTGGTCTGGACTAAAGATCTTCCATTCTTCTGGGCAGAGAGAGCAATACCACAACAAGCCTTTGCCTGGGCACTACAGGATGAGAGAAGTTGTATGTACACGTTCATACAAACCCACAGCCCAGGACGCTGCATTATCTTTATAATTGTTTGTCCCAAGTGGATGTCTGAGGCAGTGATATGCAGTCTTATTCAAAAACTCTGTAACAGTTACAGAGAGTATTGCAAGTGCCACAATCACCAAAGGAAAGTGGAAGGGTTTTTTTGAAACAAACAAACAAACAAAAAAAAACCCTCCTAAAATCCCAAACAAATAAAAAAGAAAACAAACCAACCAACAAAAAACAACAAACCAAATTAAAAAAAAGCACCAAACAAACAAACAAAACAAACAAAAAAAAAACCCCACCAAAAATCAAAAATCAAAACCAAAAAAACATCAACCAAACAAACAAAAATCCCAACAACGAAAAACCCTACCAAGCAACCCACCGGAACTAACTTTGTTGCTCACTGACAGTTTTTAGGGCAGCTGATGTTACTGCATTCACTTACAGAATGTACAAGAGAGATTTCAAAACTGGTGTGGAGAATCCCAGTGAAGAGTGGCATTTTTCTGATTTTTCCTACGCTTTCCCACCACAAACACTTACTGGAAACCTGTGAGGTGAATAAGAGACAGTAGTGTGGAGAAGGGAGCACAGCTTGCTTTACCTCTCTCCTTCAATGCTGACAAATTGCCAGCACTGACATCTGGCAGCTCTGACAGTGTCACAAAAGAACTCTCCCACCTCAGCTTACAGCCAGGTACAAAAGCAAGTGTTGTGAAGCACAATGGCTACCTTGGCAGTGACTGAGGATCCCCCAAACCATCTCCATTCCTGTTACACTGTGAATACTGTCAGTTCTACTCTCACCGTAAGCTATACACCCAGCTCCAACTACACCGATTCTGGGCTGCCATGAAAACGTGACAAGAAACATCTTTGTGTTCCTATGTCTGTACCTGCTTCTATTTCAGCTGACTATAATTTCAGAAAGGCAGATCAATCTTAATTCACAAGGACTAAGGTAGTCGCACTGCAGACTGCCTGCTCATCCATAATGCAGAACTACAGACTAAAAAAAGACTTCGGCTCCAAGCACTCCAATCTTGGCACAGGTGATTTATTGAAGTATTGCTTCTGCAGCAAAACTCAGATCCCAGCAATACCAAGCAGAACTGGTTACATCTGAGAAGCAAAGGATCCAGTTATAGGTGTGACTTCAAACTAACACACAGTGCCAAATTTGCACTTAGTTTATATGTTTTCTTTGAAAATGTCTTCATTTAAAAGGTGACTTCATTATTTTTGATTCTTTTCCAGAAAGATGAAGTTCCCATATAGCATGCTGAACTATATATCAGATTTCAACAGCACAAAATACATAGAAATTAGAAACAATAATGTAAAAAATCTAAACTGCAAATTAACAGAACAGTCATTTTGTCGGCAACAGCTGTACAGATGTTCAGAAAGTTAGTATATAATAGTCTGATAATTAATAGTCCACATATTCTGTAAACACTTCATGTAGCATCCTCCTTACCCATTGCTTCAGAGTACCCGCCTGGCTCATCCTCCCTGAACACAGCTCAGCTCCTTGATCCCTTCCTTTGCAATATGCCTCCATAACCTTTGAGAACCTCTGCTACTTCTCACATCCATTGCTTCATATTCCTCAGAAAGTCTCCCAGTTTCATAATCATTTAATTTCTTGCTTCAAAACTCTTCTCCTCACCCCCTCCCCCCCGAAATCTTATTAAGAACGTGATCTCTTTTATACACACACACACAGAGTTCACTAAAACCCCTGTCTGTCCTGTGAGCAAGGTTGTCTCATTGTACCCTTGCACTCTCTCACTCATTTGTGTCATCCTGGAGTGTCTTATCTTAATGTTTAAACCACACATTCTCTGAGCAGGGAATATTTCCTCACTGTGTTTGTGGGCACTTTGAACAACCATTTAGTAAGACTGCAGCCTAAGAATTAGCAGACACAAATGAAAATAACAAGGAAAAAGATAGTTACTGTACAACAGGCTGGGGAACAATAAGCAGAAGCATTTTGGAATTGGAAAAGTGCTGTAGCAGGTTTAAATAGGACAGACCATACATTTTTGTTTATTCTTTTATTTATCTACCAAGGCTACATGGAAATTATGCCTGCTAGTTGTAGCTGGTGGCTTGGAAGCTGAGTTTAGATATCCTGAACTGAAAAACAATAAATGGAAGGAAAAGCCATGGGAAGATAAAACTTCCACATTTAGAAGATGCAGAAAGGGGTAGTAAAGGTTCTGTGCATATACGCTTTTGCTGAAGTCAGTAGAAGCTGGTGTGTAAAGAAAGAGGTCAGGGATTTGTGATCATGTTTAAAAGTTAGGAGTGAAACCTACAGCAGCACTGACTTTTTGTTTCTAGTCAATGTCATCATTTGAACAAAAACATACATTCTGATTGCATGATTTTAGCTGCAGCAATTAGATGTATGCCTTCTAAACAGATAAGACTATATTAATGCTTTACTATAAGAACTTAAAAACATAAAGAATACTCAAAGAATACTGCAAAGATATCCTGTAGTATGTTAGTTAAACAAACCTTTTAGTTTGGTACCTAAAAGGTTGCCAACTTCGGCACTTATAATTAGCTCACCGAGTTATGAATTCTTCAATGCTTAACAATATAATGAGATACAGCTCTTGTTTAGAGGCAGCAAGTATTGCTAAACTAGTAAATACTGGTTTATCAGTAGAGTAGATTTACCCAAAGAGTTCATAGCTGAAAAAAGGGTAGATATAATTTCTATTCTCTTTTCTTTGAGAAAACAGGTGAACAATTAGGTCATGTGCAGGAAACAGAAACCAGTCTCATAAATTCATTGTCCTGTCCCATGGATTAATAATGTCTGCTCCTCTTAAACACCTCTATTAATGCTATACTAAAGGACTCTTGCAATCAAAGCCCTTCAGATATATTACAAATATTTTCCAGTAGATAAGTTCAGAACAGTTATTAAACTTCAGAAATATTGTCCTGACTGCACCATAGTAAAAAACGGGAACCTCCATTTATGAATGGGTGGCAAAGCGCACTAGCTCAAGTCAGTCTCTTACCTTGAAGTCGTTGCATGACATTAGCAATATCTCTTGATCTTGCCACTAGTCGGGATGAGGCCATGATCTCTTTGCAGCGAGTCCACTTTCCCTAACAGACGTGAGATGAGGATCCTTTAGGGTTCAACCCTCTGCCCTGGCAGAGAGTGCCTGAGGCAGTCAGATGCCTCCAGTCTAATGCCAGTCCTCACAATGCAGGCAAGTGACTTCAGTGCCTGAGAAAGAAAGAACAAGGTTTAGAGGAAACTTTTACCACCTCTGCAAACATCTGAGTCCTAATAGGTATTTTAACATATAAAGAGAGGTATGTTTTAGCCGTAGAGTACACCCCAGCCAGAGACACAATTAATGCTGAAAGCTTGCTTGGCAATCATCAGCAGAATGAAGCTGCAAAAACAAATCATTAAAAACAATTGGCAATGCACCAGACATCAATGCTTTCCTGAGGATGCTTGTGGATGTTGTTTTAGAAATAACAATAACGTTATACACAGTAAAAGTGAAACTATAATACTTCTTAATGTAAATAATATTAGGCATAAAGGAAAGAAAAATGAAAACACTTGTGAAATCCAAAAGCTGTATAACTTTCATTCTATTTCACCATACTATGAAGAGGCACTTAATAGTAACTCGTTGATCAGAATAATCCCTAACTCTACTGGACTATATGCTCTAATCTGAAATAGTGAGATTCATATACTTTATTATTAGAATTGCATTTACATTAACTTTTCAAGTGTATAATGATGTATTTGGTGTCATTTAATATCAAAAGCTGTGAAGCAGAACTACTACATGAACTTGACATAGTAAGATCTACGTGACTATAAATCTGGTGTCAAAAAAAAAGATCAAATTAGATTCTTCAGATAACATTATCAATAACATCTTTTCTTCTAAGGAACAAGTACATGTTGTGTATGTATGCAGCTTTTTCCCTGTTAAGGGAACTGAGTGTATAGACACCAAGAACAATTTGAGTCATACTACACACCCCAAGTTCAAGATCAAATACAGTTGATCAATAAATATCACAAATATTAGTGGGTTTATTGGTGCTGTGCACTTTCCTCTTTCCCTAGCCCTAAGGTCTGCCAGAGAATAGAGTCCTTCAACTTCAGACAGACAAACCTTGAGGTCATACAGCTTTAGGCATGCTGAACTCTCCCAGCGGAGCTGTGTCAACATGTAAGGTCTGCCAGAGGAAATCACATTTCAACATTTCCTTTTCTGAGCCTTCAAACCCTGGCTGACCCAAGGAACTCCCTGCTTTCCCTCTTACTGATGTTTTTATTGTATGTTTACCTTGTATTTTGGATACAGAAGCACTGCTCAGGTCAGCAGACCAAAGCTGGCTTTAAATGAGTGGAGCTGAGGGAAGCACACTTGGATCATCACATAGGGAAAAGTAAAGTCCACCATGTGCACAAGCTACGCTCTTGCATGCCATTGACAGACTGATGCAAATACCTGCTCCAGCCACATTACTGCTATTTTTGCATATATCTACACTTTGCACAAGACATACAGATGCTCCTATCCCCAAGCTTGCCTCTCTTCCCCCAAGCATGCTCTCTTCCCAAGCATGCCTCTCTTCTTCAGGGACCTTCTCCCTTCCATTCCCCTTCCCCACCTTCCAGGCTTTGCCCCTCTCCTGCTCAGGCTGCAGAGTGGCTGTGCATATCAGTCACCATCTCCAAAACATGGAAAGGCACCCTGGCACCTAGGAAGCCTCACCCTTGCAACAGCTAGAGAGGAGAAGGTACAACCAGCATACCTCTCAGCTGCAGCACTGACTGAGGCTGAGGGTCCTGTGGCGTGGCTGAATAGCCACACAGAACATTGGCAAGCACAGGTCTTCCACAACCAACACCAAACAGTGGCTGACTTGGTGGACAGGGAGCAAGAAGAGGTTTTCTGTTGCTCATGCCCACATATGCCAGTTTGGTGACCTTTGCTTTCTTTGCCGTAATTAAATGAAACATCAGGTTGTCTAACCCCACCCAACACAAATATTTCTAACACAGTGGGTTAATGAGGCCTTTTTTCTGCACCAGTGGCACTGCTAACATTTTGAGCAAGTGAGATACAGCAACTTTTAATAGCAAGCTGCTAAACGAATTGTTGGGCAGAGATAAGGGGTATTAAAAATGCCTTGTCTGACTGTTTTTTGGCTAAGAGCAGTAACAATATCAGAACACCAGCCCACTCACACCATGATGGAGCTGGTGTAAATCAGCTGTATGTGAGCAGATTTAGAGGAGCTGTGGAAGATGCTGATCCAACTCCAAGTTAAAAGCGTCTGGGAAATTGTAATGAAGATGTATGTTCAATCTACTCATACAGCAGGCTGAGTCACTGTGCAGCGATAAATGGCAGACTTGCGATTAATAATTTATCTACCTAATATTAAATTCTAAGCTACATCATAAGAAGAATCTGTGGTTCTAAATATGGCTCCTCATTCAAAAGCTCCTTTGCAAGCAGTGGGAATTAATTTATTTAAAGAAGGCACTAAGTTAGTACAGGTGGGAAGGAAAGATTCTTGTGTGCACAGCCACCTCCACAGGCAGAAAAAAAATAGCTAAGACATCGGTGGAATAGATGAAACTAAGCTACACACAGCATTCTCACCTGTCTTCAGCCAACATCTAAAGCTCCAGAGAACAAGAAAAACCTACAAGCACAGTCAGCTATTCAATGTAATGCAGAGAGAATTTTTTTTCTGATTTCTACACATAGTTAAAGCCTGCAACAAAAGATTTTTCCTACTGAAAGATTATGTTCCTCAGTTTTGTAAACATTAAGATCTTAATTAAATCTTAACTAAATGTTTTGATAGCTGTTACACGAAATAAAGAAATAGAATGACCTTTCCATTTCAGTGCCAGACAAAAAGACTATCTCAGATGGATGTGTTGTTAAAATGCACAGGTTTTTAAAGAAGTGTATGGCTTAAATCTCATAAATCTTAGCCTGAAATAAACCTGAGGGACTGTATGAGCTATTCTGTGATTTAGCATTCAGCAAGTGATTATTCATTATTACTAATTTTTTGGTCTGAACATACAGGGAATGAATACACAAGAGTGAAATGGAATGGTTTTGAATATAAATTAGATGTTTTTAATTACATTTGCCACTTACTGGATTTAATGGATGAAGTTACACTGACATTATTTTCTTATATTAATGTCCTGGTACTCTGTTTTTAGATGAAAAGAGGAAACACAAACTTGTCTCACATAAAACCCATTAGGCCTAGCAATCTCCTATAGTAATATACGGTTTACAATTCTCTGGATTGTATTGTTTCTCTCTTCAAATGCCAGAAAATTAGGATGCTTGTTCTTTGGAAGAGACAAGAAAAGTACTAGATTTATCGCAGGTTAACTTTTCCATGTTCCCAGTGTAATCCTTATTTTTTCATTGTGCTTGGCAGTGCTTTGAATTATCTGCAATTAAAAAAGAGAATATGTTTTCCTTTTATTGGTAAACCCAGGGTACCATTGGCAAGACCAGGTTGTATTTTATCTTTTAGTTCTTAAAGTTTATAAAACAGACATGCCTGTCAGCAGCTCAGTTCCAGAAAACCAAAGGGACATCTGTTAGGTGCAGACAACAATGGCTGAAGATAAACCTGACCAATAAAAGGGTCAAAAATTCTCTGACTGTCCCTAATGTTTGCACAAATTGCAGATTGTCATTACACTGGGTTGATGCCACATATAGCACCCTGGGGATAATTGCTACTGATGTGAAGGCATGGTTGTACCAGGAAAGAGTTTTAGGCTTCTATAATCTCCTATTATAGCAGCAATGGATAAAGAGACTTCAGACAAACAAGGATAAGCACTGATAAATAAGTAAAGTTATTGTTAAGAGCGAGAAATAGGCAGGTGGCAAGCAGCGAAAGGACTGTTTCTAATCTGGGACATATAAAAAGAGGTATTTGAGAGGACAAAAGCCACAGAGTAATAAATTCAAGAAACTCCTGCAGCTAGAAGTAATTTTCAGATGTTACATAGATACAAGAAATATATTGGAATAACTAAAAGAAGTATAGCACTGAACAGAATCTAAAGAATGACAGAAATAAGGTCAAGTGCTGGAGTGCCATTATATGTTAACAAAAAGCCAGACTTCCCTGGTAAGAAACAGTGGTACAGAACTGATCTAGTAAAAAAATACTTCCAGGAAAGAATTTCCAAGCATGGTTTACTACTGTAGCACTAGGGGTCCACTTTGATCCACCGGCTCTGCTTCTGAAACGTAAGAGGTCTTGGAAGTGCTGCCAGAGTGATAGACGCTGCTGGAATGGATGCGATTCTGTGAGACAGCAGTAATCCTCATTTCAGTCAGGAATAAATGATTCAGGTAGGAACTAGAATTTTCTGGAAGTCATAACTGCATTTAAACATCATGATAATTACAGAACCAGCTATTTTAGTTTGGGCTTTAGTTAGTAGCAGGGTGGGATGGGGGAGGAGGGCAAAACAAATCATAGAAAATACTTCTGACTAAGGAAGTGATTGATGTAGTCCACACTATTAGAAGATAACCCAAAGCACGTAATCAGGTCAGGAGACTATCTAAAGAGCTAGTGCTTAAAAATAAATAAAAGGGAAATCAGTTACAGAAGTCAACTAGACTGAAGAGCACAGGGTCTCTCCCCTGAGGCAGGCTGGGAATTTCTTTAAGTCCAAGGTCCAGTAACTATACACCTATGCAAGGCAGAATAAAACTGCTCCAGGCATAATTGGAAAAGCTATCAGTCAGAAATAAATGGGAAGAAATAAAGCATAAGAAGTGAACTGCTCTGCCACAGTTTGTGTGCTCCACAGGGATGAAGAGAGACTTGCTCAAAGACCAGTTGAGTTAGACTAAGGAAGTGAAGAAAGCAAGCAAACAGATCTTAGCCAAGATAAGTAAAAAGGAAGTAGAAAATAAAATCAAGAGGAGATTAATTTGCCTCAGTTAGTATACTGATTTTTCCACTGAACTCAATTCTGATACACAACAACACAACAGAAATGGAAACAGCACCATCTGAAATAAAAT